ACTCAGGATCGCGCTGTTTCCCGACACTGGTGCTCCAGACGCGCCGCCATTTTCCTCTTTTTCCACTGTTAAGAATTCGCAGGCCGCCACCGCCCCACGCTCCCTCGGCTCGGGCTCCCGGCGCCGCTCGGCCGCTCGCACAGCTCCCGCAGCTGTTGTCTCGGTGTCACCTCACCCTCCTTTTTAATGCAAGGGTGGTGGAAGGAACTTAGCAGAGTCTGTCTTCCTTCCAAATGGGATGTGACATCATTGCACCTGAACATTCTGTTCTCACCAGTCAGCTATTCAACAGATGTTTTAACAGAATTATTTCTAAATGTTGGAAAGGGGAAGCTGGGGCTTTCGAATACTTTCTAGATGATTTCTTTTTCAATAATTTCACAATGGTTTTTGAAAATTTTTTTTTTTTTGTAAGTGAAATAAGCCAGGCACAGAAAGAAAAGTACAGTATGTCAGAAAGAAAAGAAATGAAAGAAAGAAAGAAAGAAAGAAAGAAAGAAAGAAAGAAAGAAAGAAAGAAAGAAAGAAAGAAAGAAAGAAAGAAAGAAAGAAAGAAGGAAGGAAGGAAGGAAGGAAAGAAACAAAGAAGGAAAGGAAGGAAGAAAGGGAAAGAAAGAAAGACCACGATAACACATTGAACTTTCAAAAAGAGAGAACAGACCTATAGTTACTAGAAGCAGAAAAGGGAAAGTGGGGGGGGGGCTAGGGAGTAATTGGGTAAGTGACACAGAGTTATTACAATTTGTAATGATGAATATGCCCACAATATTTAATTGTCACATACTGTACACAAATACTGATAGTCAATTCTGCACCCCCAAAATATGTACAATCAAAAATATACATTAATTTTTTTTCTTTCCCGTATCAGCACCATCAATGCCTAATTTCTTCTCAGGCATAAAAAATCTTCATCTAATGCAAACTCTTGAAAATTATAAAATAAACTCTAATCTTATTTTGTTAATAGGAACTAGCATCAAAAATGTATTTTTAAACATCAGAAAGGGGAAGTGGGACTGTCTAATTAGCTCTTGATATTTGCTTTTGCAACAATTGCTTAGCTATTCTTTCTTTCATGTAATAGCATCATCAGTACCTAATTTGGGGAGGACAGAAAATATTAAAATATTTTTCGAAAAAAATCTTGAAACCTGTAAAATGCAGTCTAGTCTCATTGTCTTAATGTGAATAACTAAAGTAGGATAAAAATATACAGGTTTACCTATATACAAATTCACCATAGGTCTCTTTACTGGCTAAAATCAAGCCAAAGCTTTCTTTGACAGGTAGGAGCAGCTTTTGTTTCTTATTAGCATTGACACATCTGATATAATATACATGTCTAGAGACTTTCAGCAAAATGAATTAACTTGCAGTTTTACCAAAGCATGCACACTTTTTAGAACTGCATAGAGTGATTCTCCTGTTTCCCATTGAAAAGTGAAATAAAGAATAAAGATATAATATTTTTAGAGTTAATTCTGACAAAATAAAAATCAAATAATTTCTAAGAAAGCAATTCCTAGTCAGAGCCCACAAGCCAATATCACTTGAGAGTGAGATTCTCCTCAACCCTTCATGAGTCTACAATAGAGCCAATATCCTGAACCCAATGCAACCCACTCATATTCTAAAATTACTTCTATGATTGCAATGAGGTCGGTAACTTAAAAAAAAAATAACATTGTCACTAATAATATCACCTTTTTATTTTTTGGAATGAATCATTTAGCTCAAATTGACGAATGCCTTTTTTTTTTTTCAAGTAGAAGAAAGCTCTGTTTTGTTATTATTTTATACAGATTCTCAATAAATTCCATTATTGGCTAAAAACAAGGAAAACAAAACTTTGAGGGGAGGGGGGATCTTCTTTGTTTCCATAAGCTTTGGGATCCACCCTATCTTTCTTCAGAAATAATCAACTTCATTACGTGAAGAAGGAAACATTAGAATAAGCCAGTGAGCTCAGGGGAGAAAAATGGAGGTAGGTCTGACTTACCTGGATTCCCTTGCAGGGCTGTGAGTGAACTATCAATGAACTATCAGCAAGTCAGTGTCAAACCTACCTAGGTTGGTTGCTGCCAGGGAGTGAACCAATTCCGTATGAAAGATTTTCACTTGCTGGAATTCAAAGTATTCACCCTAGAGTTCAAAGTCCACCTCAAACACCCCACCTGCATCTCAGCCTCCTGGATCTTGCACATGATAGACTAGAGACTTTTTTTTCTTTTTTAATACAGGTGAGTGTGTTTTACCTGCCATATCCTCATCTCCAAACCTTCCTATGTTCATCTTTCTCCCACTGAAAACATTGAAGTATCTATGATGGGACACATTGCATTCATATCTAAGACTGGTCTCTGGCACATAAATAATGCTCAGCAGACGCAGCCATATATCAAGGTAAAATTACCTAGGTACTGGTAAGAAAGTGCATCTGTCAGGATAGAGGTGGACACCTTTGTCCTGAATTTTCCCAGAAAAAATAGAAAGTTGAGAAGGAACTCTTGTTAACAGATCATAGCGCATCACCTGTCTTGAGGAAGTCTTGCTCCTGACACTGCTGCCAGAGTTGGAAAAACATCCATTAAACTTGTAGGTTCTCCAATGAACTGTCCAGCTGGTAACTTGGCAGGCCACCGTACAATTCCGGGGACTCGGATTCCACCTTCCCAGCCTCCCATGCCTTTTCCACCTACAACACATTGCAATAAAGTTGGGCCATTGCACCCCGTTAAAACAGTCACTGTGGCAAGAGTGTTTAAAATGTAAATTATTATCAATGGAGACAACATTCACTCAGTGCCTAACATGTGCAGAGTCCTGATGGGGTTAGCAGTACACATCCGCAGAATTATTTATTTTTTTTGTTGTGCTGCTGGTAGGTTTTTTATTGCATAATTAATTACATTCTGTGAGATATTTACATTCTATTTGAATGGGTTATCTCTATGTAAACTCCTCTTATCTTAAATGTACACCTGTTTCATTTCCAGATACTTTCATATCTCTGCTGAAAGTAACCTCAGTGAAGCTTGTCTGAGCACTTTATTTAAAAGAGCATCCCCACCCCATAATTCTCCATCCCTGTTTCTGCTCTATTATTTTCTATGGTATTTACCACCTTCTAACATATCATAGAATTTTCTTATTCATTTTTTTTAATTGGTGTTCCTCCTCCCACAAGAATGTAAACTCTATGAAGACAACGATTTCTGCCTGTTTTGTTCAAGGCTATTTCCAGTATGCTGAAAACTAATTAAATGATATGATTATATGCTAATTTATGGGGCTAACAAAGGTATTATTGAAAATAAAAGCTGAAATTAGAAAATAAAAGCAGTAATATTAATTATGCCAGGATGGCAAGCATAAACCAGGATTTCTGTGGGAAAACTAGGAGCTATGGCCACCAGACTGACTTAATATATTTTTGTTATTTTATGAAATTATTCAAAGTAGAGTCTTACTTATAGCATGTTGAAAAATGGAGATTGTTTTTTAAAGTTGTCATAGGTGAAAATTTCTGTAACAGCAATTTCCACTATGGGTTTGTTTGTCTTCTGAGCACACACTTTGGTGGTGTATGCCCTAAAAAACAAATACACCTCTCATTTGCCCAGAAATGATAATATACTACTAAATCTAAGACTGTGGAATCTCTGGTTGCATGAATAATGAATATATCTAGAAAACACTTCAAAGCCTCTTTCAAGATATATGATTAAAATGTACTTAACATTGTACAGATAATTTTCTTTTAACATCAGGATACTTGTTACAGGCCACACATATGTAGTAGCTGATACACATGCAAAACGTTGTGTTCTATGTGGATTTAATTGTAATATCTCAGACAAGCTTGCCTGTTTTCTGTGCTATGTCCTAGGAAGAAAGCACCAAAGCCTTTTTAATGACAAAGGATTCCTGGTCTCAGTCCTCGATTTCATAGTTATATTCTTTCTTAATCTTTTCTCAGTAGTCTCTAAATGCAATTGATGAGTATTTGACTCTGGTAAAGACATCAGCTAGTGCTAATATTTTATAGTCTCCTAGGTTGTCAGGGATGCAAATTTCTAGATATTTCTTCAGCATATCCCCACCTTGTTGCTCGTGTTCACAGAAATGTTGACAGATTTAAGGTCAATGTCTTTGATACTGCATTTACACTTCATCTTGTTAAGAGTCAGACTAAATAAACAAGTTCAGTTTTTCTTCATCTCATAGACTTTAATTATCACGACCACAAAGGAGCTTATTCACAACCAGCCCTTGTGCGTGATTTCCTCTCACCTTTGAATATGCCATTCCATCCACCAAGTTGGGCATGACCTATCCTAGCCTCCAGATGCCCTCCGTGGTCCGATGTAAAGTAGACAAGCGTGTTGTTTCTTAGACCAAAATCATTAATTGCATCAAGAAGCTTGCCTGAAATAATAAAAAAAGGGGGAGCAGGGTCAAGTAAAAATAATGACACTATGAGCTATGAGACCCCTAAGTTAACTGGGTGGGTAGAAGATATTTCAAGGACATCAGGATTGGTGTGACGTTCACAATTTCAAAAGCCACAGAAGAAAAGAAATGCACATTAACGGTTTCATTTGCCAAACCATACAAAGAGAAATGCATTTGAGTACAAAATTTTTAAACAAAAACAGATGACCCGCTTTAACAAAAATTATCGTGACAATGTAAATGAACGCCCACTGCTATTAACATCATTTAGAAATGCAAATTCCCCTCTGTCCTTTCCTTCTTCCAGAGTAAAAGGACAAACCCAGTTTTTCCCCTTTGGATATGAGGGAGGGGGTGTGGTTGCATTTCTGCCTGTGATGACACATGGAGTTACAGAGGAGGACATTGTCACAGAGTTTGAGGAAACAAAGGCAGGACTGAGAACGTTTTGTCATTGGGCCCACACAATTTATTAATGTGCTGCTTCAGGTGATTTAGTAATTCTTTACCTAACCAATACTCCTTCCCTTCTTATTCAGCATTTGAAATAGAGAGCTGGACATTGAAAGGAGGATGAATTAGACTCAAAGGGGCAAGTTAAAAGAGGAAGAATACACTTAAAATAAACCACATTTCTAGTCATTTTTATAAGAAAATTGTTAAATTTTGCCCAGTTTCCAAAACCCTGTCAATATCATGAATAATGAACTCATTACTCTGCAAACATTTCTCTAATATTTAATATTAATATTTAGTATTTGTCTAATTCTGTGTGTTCTACCTTAGATAACACTAAAACCCCTAAAGGATTATAGAAATTTTCTTTTAGAGACAAAGCACATAGGGAGAGTCAAGTCTCAGGAAGCAGTTTAACTTTTTGAAGCCCTAAGAAAATTTTAACAGTGCAAGGCTTTTGGCAGCTGTCACAGTAAAAATTTATGCAAGAGAAAATCATCCAGGGATGTTAAAACTAGCACGTGAATGTTTGGTGAGAACCAAGGTATCGGATTAACTGCAAAGAATCCCCCATTAAATACTTATTAATGTCTAATTAATTAATAGTGACAAAATACTTAAGTAACGTTACAGTGGAGAAATCTAGAAAACAGCTCTTAACCAAGTGGTCAACATTTTTATCACCATTTTGGGGCCAGTCGACCTCTTCTTGGGTTACTGGATAGGATACAGTGAGAATATGGTATTGCTTCCACGTTTGTCAAAGGAAATTCCAAACTAAACCAAATCAAGGGACATTCTACGTAATATCTGGTCTATGTTCTTGAAGAACATCAAGATCATTGACCACAAGATAGAATGGAGATGTCTCAGTATTGGTTTCCATTGGAGGAGTCTGAACAGACACCACTGAAAAATGTATGAACCAGAACAGAAAGAGGGTAAAGGAAGCAGGTGTTTTATTTGAGGGGTTTTGCCTTTTTTTGTTTTTTGCGGGTTTGTGTGTGTGTGTGTGTGTGTCCCTTTTTCCACGTGTGGGTGGAATTTGTGCATTAAATGGTAAGATCCATTAGTATTAATTTCCGGATTTCGAAGGCGTGTGCTAACTACCTAGGAGAATGAATTTGTTTTTGTAAATACACATTAAAGTTTTTAAAGTTAATGAGCCTCATGTCCGAACCTTAGTCCCAAATATTCAGGAGGGGGAAAAAAAAAAAGAAGAAGGGGTTTGTTGAGGTGGAGGAGACAGAGAAGGCAGGGAAGAAACAGAAAGAATACATTGTAGAATGTATTCTACAAAGAATACATTTAGAATGATTCAAGGAAGATACATTGTAACAGTTGGGAAATCTGGGTGAAGGGCACATGGGAGTTATTTTTAACCTTCTTGCTGCCTTTTAGAAAAAAATGTAATATTTCTCCCAAGAAAAAACTTAGTAAGGCTAATTTTTTTTGAGTAGAAAAATAACATCACATAATTTAGGAAATATGGAAATAAAAAGAATTATAAAAATAATAAAATGAAGAGCACCCACTTCATGCCCACATTGTCATTTGACCATTTAAAGAAATTGTCACATATGCTTGTCGATATGTCTCTGTGCCTGGGATTGTACCGCGTGCAGCTTTCAACCTGCTTTTCTCATCCAACGTTATTTCTTTAAAAATCCTCATGTTTTAAAAAATTGTTTGAAAACTGGGCTGAAAGGCTGGAAAAGTGTCCTTCCTAAAAAATGACTACAAACCGTCCAACTGCTGCACTGCTGCTGCTTATTTGTGTTAATTTTCAGGTTTTGCAATTAATAAAAATTCTATGCTGCACATCTTTTGGTGTTAATTTTAGCCCGAATTGCTGCACATTTCCTTAAGAAACTTAACTGCAAAAATGATTCCTGTATAAGATATGCTGTCTTACACTCCCCAAAACGATATGTCACAATGCCATTTTCTCAGTTCCTCGTGTTTGATAGGTGATGACGTTCAATCATGAATGATCATGGTTTCCTTCCTGTACCTACTCTGATATTTGTGTATATATATATATATAATATATATATATATATACATATAAAAAAAATATATATATATATATATATATTTTAAAAGATGACCGTAAGGGGATCTCAACCTTTGGCTTGGTGTTGTCAGCACCACGCTCACCCAGTGAGCTAACCGGCCATCCCTATATGGGATCCGAACCCGTGACCCTGGTGTCGTCAGCACCACCCTCTCCCAAGTGAGCCACGGGCCAGCCCCAGATACTTGTATTTCTAATCTTTAGATTATGTTTAGCTCCTGCTGATTTTTCTTTTGGGATTTACCTGTTTCTATTATTGATTCATAGAACTCCTTATTTATTAAAGGACTAAAATGCTGCCATATTGTTGCTAATATTTCTTCAGTTTGCAGGGGACCATTGTGTATACTTTTTATCATGCATACTTTCAATATTACTAACTCTGAAACATCATGCAGAAGTAAATTTACTATTTAACTCTAGTTTCTTCCAGTTTTTCTTTTGTTTCATTCAGTTTCCTAATGTGCATGGAAAACATTGCTAATTGAATTGTTAATGATTTTTCCTAACGCTGACTAATGAAATTAACATGAAACTTAAATACATGTGTACTTAGGAGACAAACGTGACATTAGAGGTAGTGGACCAATATTGTTTATACTGAAAATTTCAGAAAGTCTAATAAAACAACTACTAATGTATATATGTATATAATATATAGTATTATATTTATATATTATATAATGTTATATTATACAACTGCATAATATATTAAAATATGCTAATAAATGTATTATAATACTATATTAATATATATGACTACATTAATGATATATAATTATATATGAGTGATATAACTATAATAAAAATTATAAATATAATTATAATGTTATAATATTTAATATACATGTTAATATTGTTTTATGATACTCCCTAATGTTTTCAACATAGGCAATTATGTCCTTTACAAATAACATCAAATTACATTGAGTTTTGTCTCTCCTTGATATTATTCTATTATTATATCTCTATTTTAATGTTTAGAGAGGTCAAAAAATAATTAGACAGTGGCTGTTGAAATGGTTAAAACTAGCATCAATTGAAATATATATTCATGTGTGTGCATGTGTGTATATACATGTGTGTGCATGTATGTGTGTATCTCATGTATATCATACATGGGAGATCTTCGAAAAGTTCATAAATAATTCATATTCTGTTTCAATTATATTTTTCCATAAACTTTTTGAAGTACCCTCGTATATCTGTATACACGCACACACACACACACACACACACACACGCACATGTGTATATTTCATTTTATGCTAGTGTTAACTACTATTCCATGAACTTTTGAAGACCTCTCATGTAGGTGACTTAGGAAGACACTTTTGCATGTCCTGTGGTTCTTTCTGCCCTGTCCAGGGGAGCTGCCTGCCCTTCTCCTGCTCCCCTTAAACACCCAGCCCCAGGGCTCCACCAACCTTAACTTCCTGCCCAACAGGTCCAGCAAAGACTGCCATTCCTATCTCATCTGCTGAGAGCATCATTTTCTCCTGTCCTTTCTGGACATTGCAACCTGTCACCTCCATTCTTGAGAAACCTGCTTTTTATTAGATCTGAGCTGATGAATTCCTTCCCGTTTAGGAATGTGTGACTAACTAAATATTAGAGGTTTCCTCCCTGGGTGGGGTAAAAATGTTATTTGCATTGGAAGCCTCTCACTGGATGTTCAGGAACCAGGAAACCAGGTTGGGGGAAGTTTCTGGAACTTTCCCGATCCTGGTGACATGACAGCATGTAGGAGTCTGAGAGGTTTCAGGAGGCTTCAGAGAATAACCCAGTTCTCTTTTGTCATTGCTCCCCGTAAGTTCTGCCTTGGATTGAGTGCCCCCCAAAAAACTTGACCTCCACTGTGACAGTGTTGAGAGGGTGGGGAACCTTATTATGGTAATTGAAAGGTGGGGCCTTGAAGAGGTGATTAGATTGCAGGACCGTGCAGTAGTGATTGGGTTAATAATGGTGGTCAGGGGCGTGGTTCTGAGGGTGTTAAAAGGGCTTGAAAAGGGTGTGCTTCTGAGGTCTTTCTCTGCGTCCACCATCTCACAATGGGATACCCTGTGTCACTGAAGCCACCATGAAGGAAGACACCCAGCAGATATGTTCCCTAGACTTTGGACTTCCCAGCTCCTAAAACTGTAAGCAATAAATTTTGTTTTCTTATAAATTACCCAGTTCTAGGTTTTTTGTTTCAAGCAACAGAAACGGGCTAATACAAGTTCTTTGCCCAGCAAAAGAGGAAGATGGGTTTTACAGTGCGAGCTGCTGGGGTCCAATCTTGGATTACTCTACCTGTCCGGCAAGCTTGAGAAAGTCTCCAAACACCCTGTGCTTTTCTTTCTTCATCTGATAATGGAGGGTAACCATGGTGCTGACGAAGACAGTAACCATCTCTTAGGACGTCTATGGGGATCCATCTAAACCACCCTTGGAACAGGGCGTAGCCCCTGTGAAGCACCATGTTGAAAGTGTTTGTTCCATCAACAGACCCCACTATTTCACGGCACTCAGTTTGAAACCCGTGATAATTACCAAATGCATGAGTCTCATATCCCTAACCAGGAACCTCTGCAAATAAGCAGTGTTCATAAGAAAAACAACAATTCCTGGGATTCAGGGTATTATTACAAGTTCTAGGATAGATACTTTGGAGGTACATAAACTTTTGAGTATTTCTGGAATTACCTATCGAAGCAGGAGATTATTGTTCCTAAAGGCTTAATTCTGGCTTTACAGGCAACTCTTGCAAGGGCTTTGGGCTCCAGAGACATGTAAATTGCGGCTGCACGTTTCAAAACATGTTTTTCATATATTACGGCTTGTCCACCTGTTGAATACATTTAGTAATTATCACAGGTTTCAAACTGACTGCCCTGAAACATGCCCATCCATTTGTGTAATATTACATGAGCACCTCTAAGAAAATCCCATGGAAATAACAGACACACCTGAAGTATCTTGCTTGGTTCCTTAGGTCACATCATTAATTTTATTAAATTAGATTTTGTTAAAACGTTTTATTAATTAAAACTTTTAAAGTAAATTTTTTTAAGGTGTTAAATCCTGAGTTTGTGCCGGTCACTTCATTCCCTTTCAAAGACAGAATGATAAATAGGACGGATGAAATTTTTGAGATTGGGTGCTATATTAGGAAGGTGAATTTTAAGAACATTCTGTGTTGCCTAGTTCTGGTGGAGGTAGAACGTGGGAGAGTTATGCATATCTACCACCCATACATCTATCTCCATCATCTACCTATATCTTATCTATCTATGCATTTATCTCTATAATCTGTCACTTATCTATCTACCTGTTTCTACATATATGTGTACTACACAAAACAGACACACATATGTACTTTGCCTACGTCTACACATGTGCATTTATTTGATTAAAATATCATTTATATTTTTTTAATATTAAAAAAATATGATTGTGAAAATTGAAACTGTTTGATTGAATTTGCTTTAGTCAGGCTTAATTTCCAAATGGTCTTTTTGTTTAGCAAATATGCTTCATAATGACCTCCTAGATTGGGGAAACATAACTCGAGTTTGTGTCCTGCGAATATGTACATTTCCTTCATGCTTTTCTTTCATTAATGTTGGAAAACCGAATCAGTTTGGCTAATCAATATATGTCATGTAAACACTGAGAATTGACATCTGCATGGTCAGTCTCTCTGCAGTTTTAGGTTTTTAGCGTTTTGCGCTCAGACCTCGGTGCACAGCAAATCATAAACAAAGGTTTGCTGTTTAACCAAAGAGCATAGAGATCTGTTTTGTGGTCTGGCGAGGACGACAGACACAACCAAGTAGAGAGAGACCCCAGTCAGGATGTGACTGGTGTGAAATAATTCTCTTCCGTCTGCAGATGACCGTCCCTAACTTTTCCTTCTCAGGTAGGCCAAGGCCAGTTTCTGGGTGCCATGCATCATTAAGACATACTAGTTTCCATCCACCACTTACCCACCATGTAGTCCATCTCCTGCACGTTGTCCCCATATAAGCCATGCTTGCTGGTGCCGATGAAGTCATCTGTGGTGGGAAGAGGCGTGTGCACATGAAGAAAAGAAAAGAACAGCAGAAAGGGTCCTCTGTTGTGCCTGAGAAGAAATCAAGGACATTGCTTTTGAGTTTTCAAAATCAGCAAAGGTGAATAGCATTGCTCTTAGGCCACTAGCTCCTGCAGAGACACTGTCCCCTTCCTTCTTTGTGCCCCCGTGGAAAGAAGAGACACAAGAGACCACCCTGGCTGGAGTGGATTTCATTCTCTCCCAGTATCCAAAATGCTGCCCTTCACACACACACTTTGGGGTGATGCTGCCATTAGTGCTTTGATTCTCAGAGGCCAGGACACACGTAAGATTATCTTGTAAGCCAAAGTAGCCCTCATTATCATGACAGCACTAAAAGTCAAGTCCAGCTCTGTTTGGCAGACATTCCCATGGCTCATGAAGTCTCGAAGCGAAGTCACACCCGAAGGGATATCAAGGGATGGAGTCACAGGAGTGGCTTCTTAGAAACTTCGACACATTCACAGCCCATGAGCAAACAATGCAGACAGAAACTCCTTCATGAGCCACCTCCACACCATCGGTTCTTTCATGAGGACACAGCGAATGAGGCCTTAAATTCTGACAATCCATCTGCGTGAAAGGTGAGTCCTCAGCTAACTGGGGGGCACACAGCACAAATGCCACTCTTTGGGAAACCTATGCTCTGATAAGACATTGAAGTGTAAAAAATGAAAAAAAACAAAGAAATTAAACAACAACAACAAGAGTTGTATCGTGGTGAACTGGGTTGAATAGTGTCACCCCAAAATTCATTCTCAGTTAGAGTCTCGGAATGTGAAATTATTTGGAAATAAAGTCATTGGAGATGTAATTAATTATGATGAGACTATCCTGGATTAGGGTGGTTCCTAAATCCAATGAGAAGTGTCCTTATAAGAGACAGAAGAGGAGACACAGACACAGAGGAGAAGCCACGTGAAGACAGAGGCAGAGACCGGAGTGATGTGACCACAAACCCAGGGACACCTGGAGCCACCAGGAGCTGGAAGAGGCAGGAAGGATCCTGCCCTGGAGCCTCTGGAGGGAGTGCAACCTGTAGGTTAAAGACTTAAAATCACTTAGCATTCCAAACCAAGTTGCCAAAATAGAGAGTGCTCAGTGTGGTCAGCGGAATAGTGCCTCATCTGAAAGATGCTTATATCCTAATCCCCAGAACCTCTGACTATGAGACCTTACATGGCAAAAGAGAATTTGCAGATGTGACTACTTGGAGAATCTTGAGATGGGTGGATTATCCTGGGTTATCTGAGTGGACCCAGTTTAACAAGTAGGGTCCTTATAAGAGGGAGACAGGAAAGTCTGAGTCATAAATGTTTAAAAAGCTACCAACCACAGAATGCAAGCAGCTCCTAGAAGATGAAAAAGAAACAAGGAACAGATTCCCCACTACAGCCTCCAGAAGGAACCAGCACTGCCAATATCTTAATTTTAGCATATTAGATTAATTTTGGGTTTCTGACCTCAAGAACCAAAAGATGATAAATTTGTGTTGTTTTAAGCCACTAAGTTTGTGATAATTTGTTACAGCAACAATCAGAAACTCATGCACTGGCAATCTAGAGGAAAACAGCATCTAGTGTCCATGAACTCTGTCCTTCTGTATAACTATGGATCATATGGAACTTCTGAAACCTGACAGAGGTTTTGATAAAAAACGTGAATTTCAACAACAGCATTTGTTCTTGAAGTGATAATGTCAGGTCAGAGTGACAATGCATAGAGGTGTTTGGAGACTTGAACTGGCTGGCAGAATACTACAGGATTGCTTCTCTTACACTTTCAGATGGGAATTGATGCTGTCTCGTAGCATGTTGGTCCATAAACCTTCATGGAACTCAGCACATTTGAAATGATTCCAGGAGAACAATGGGGTTTGCTCTCAATGAGACCAGGAATTCAGTTGCATCTACAGCGCATTATGGTTTTATCTCTTCCACACTCCACGTGGGCTACAGAGCATTGACAAAGCTATTGATGGGGTTGTACAAGATGACTTACATCATCAACTAAATCTATACTATAGTCTATTGCATCCACTTCTTCTCTGATTGTTTGTGCTTTGAGTCTTCCCATGGCAACAACACCAAATTGCTCACAGCTCCGTGCAAATCATATCTTCCTTACGCTTGCACCTCTGACAGTAATACCTGCAAACTCCTTTCCTTACCTTGTTCTGATTCATCTTTGAAGATTCGGGTCAGATATTATTTTCTCAGTAGTGGCTTCCGTGATATCTTGGAAGGACCCTACCCTATTGTATTAGTCCATTTTTGTTGCTTATAACAAAATACACAGAACTGGGTAATTTATAAAGAAAAACAAAATTTATCGCTTACAATTTCTGAGGCTGGGAAGTCCAAAGTCCATTTGGTGTTGGTGACAGTGATCCAGGGGTCCCATATTGAAAGATGGTGGAGGCAGAGCAGAGACAGACTCTCCTCTTCTTTTAAAGCCCCCAGAACCACACCCCTGGCCATTATTTTTAATCCATTCACTACTGCACAGTCCTACAATCCAATCACCTCTTCAAAACTCTACCTTTCAATTACCATAATAGGATTTCCCACTCTCTTAACAGTCACAGTGGGGGCTAAGTTTCTAATGCATAAAAACTTGGGGACACAATTCAAGCTTCAGTGAGTTTTTGGGGGGACATAACTCAATCCACTACATGTATGGACCTCTCACAACTCAGACTTGTGCCCATTAGTCAATTTCTTATTGAATTGTGTGCTTGTACATCTTCTGCTGCCACCAAAAGTTAACTTATCTTTGAAGTCCAGATCCCAGGGTGGCTATTGGCAGGGATCAACCATCAATCAATATTGAAAATGTGAATGAAAAGTTCGTTCACAGCCTTTTCCTAAAGAAGGTCCAACAGTTAAAGGAAAGTAAATGTGCTTCCTATGGAAAGTTTCCAGTTTTGTAACCTGGGTACATCAAGCTTTATAATGATCACCATTGGCGATGGATCTTATCCAATCAGTATCCCTTAAATATCACATGTTGAAACAGAAGTCTTCTGATTTTTAAATCACAAGTAGGTTTTTCCCTAATGGAGGGATAAAGAAATGGCCAACTTATTCTATTCTCTAGTTGCCTGACAAATATATCCACCATTGTAGATTAATACAGCAGATTTATGAGTCTGAGTATACCGTAAGTCTGCCGAATATAAATTTCAGGGCATCATTTCAATAACAGGGACTCAAACAAAATACCACCTCTTTAGGCACTATCTAAAGAGTCCAGCTGGTCTTCAGTACATTTCATATTTTCATCTAACCCTATTACAGTGTTTAATGATTTACCATTTCTTAGCTCAATATTCCTTTAAATATTATCCTTCCCTATTTTTTTTAAAGTATCATTATTACATGCATTTTAAAATATTACCTCTGCCTTTCCAGAAATGATATGGCCTCCTTCACCATGATGGTCCCGGCTCTTTCCGCCTTCATGGGTTGCTCTGTGATCTCCTGCTCTCGCATGAGGAGGCAATTCCAGTACAAAGAGGGCGTGTAGCTGGCGTACCAGAAGTAGGCCAGGAGCAAAACAAATAGAACCATGGAGAGGATGAGGGGCCAGGGGATGGAGATCCAGCCGCTCAGTTTTCCAACAGTGAGGGTGACCACAGCAATGGCCACCAGCTGCACACAGAGCCAGAGTCTGCTCTCAATGGCTAATTCCGTGTCACGCGAAGGATCTGGCCAGCAAGGATGGTAAAGCGTGAAGGGCATGCCGTAGAAGAAATCAAACCCATAGTTATACGGATGGTGGCAATGGTCATTTCGGGTTCGGCAGTTTAAGCCCTGGTGCCATTTGCCTGAAATTAAACACACAAACATGCATGCACCAGAAAAGCATCAGGCGCTTTCACAAAGAACATGGGATCATTCTTTAGGAGAAATAATCTGCTAACGTCCCAACATGAAGAAACCAGTATCTTTCCTTTGCTTAAAAAAATTAGAGTTTCACATAGCCCTCGTTTTATGTTTGTTCCTTTTCACTGAGAAAGTTCACGTTCAGATCTGGTTGTGAGAAACCGAGCAGGCTACGAAATAAAGAGAGGAAAGCACAATTGTGGGATTGTAGCAAGAAGGTGACGTTGAAAGTTTGTCATTCACAGAGAGGTCAATGTCATAGTCACCAAGATAGATACACCACAGAGACAAAGTAGATTATAGATGATGGATGAATAAACAGACAGATGATAGATAAATGACGGATAGATAATGGATGGATGGGAAGGAAGGTAGACGAACAGATAGTTACAGCAACAGAGATAGACACATGATAGAAACAGGCAGAGGATCCATAATTTATATAGATGGATACATACATACATACATACATAGTTATAATGGGTATAATACATACAAGTAAATAACCGAGGATACATAGGACATGTATGAATGTATGTGTGAGTAGAGGAATGAATCGATAAGCGAGTGGGTAGGTAGATGGGTGGATGGGTGGGTGACAGGATAGAAAGAAAAAGGAAGGAAGGAAGGAAGGAATGAAGGAAGGAAAGAAAGAAGGAAGGAAGGAAGGAAGGAAGGAAGGAAGGAAAGAAAGAAAGGAAGGAAGAAGGAAGAAGGAAGGAAGGAAAGAAAGAAAGGAACGAAGGAAGAAGGAAAGAAAGAAGGAAGGAAGGAAGAAGGAAGGAAAGAAAGGAAGAAAGGAAGAAGGAAAGAAAGATAAACGATGGATGGATGGATGGATATACATAGAAAGATGATAAATGTTCAATATAGATAAATGTTGGAGGATAAACCCAGCACAGATGAATGAATGAACAGCTAGTTGCATGGTAATCCTAGGGTCTCCCACTAAAGCTCACTGACGTAGAAACTTATTTAGTAAAACTTACCACAACTTGAAGGGTAACCAAAGTATCCAGGTGAGTCCTGCTATCATGTAGACCTTCACCATAGCCCCGGGAGAGTGTGATCATGTGTTTCTACCACAAAGATTCACAGATTCCTGCAGGCAGTTAGGGTCCCATCAGGGCTGCCTGCACTTACATCTATCTCTGAGTCCCTGCAGGGGTAGGCGGGTGAAAGGGAATGCTAGCGGTTTAGATTTCCTGCACTGCAGCTGACAGGGATTGTCTTCTCTTACTGATGTCAAATTTGTTACAAAAATGGAAGGAATTTTAAAATGGCATGTAATTCTAATGCCAAGTGAAACCCTAGCCTCTTAAATAGGGACAGTAAGTGTTTCTCCAAAGACTTCTGTCATCTTTCGCAGTGAGAAGAAAATTGATGTGGTTCACTTTTAAAGAAATAATAAGACAAGTTAAAGAACATAGGGTAAGAAACTGTGCCAGGCATGAGAAGCAAGACGAATTTGACATTCTTGTAAAATGTTCACTTTAGACATCTCACACGTGTCGCCCAGCCTTGCAAAGAATCGATTTCCTCATCTGTGAAATTAAATAGAAGGGTGATTCTCTGACACCCGTCTATCTGCAGTTATCAATGGTTCTGTCAAAGTACGCTGTCTGCTCACTGCAGTGCAATTAACCAGGGGCCACAATTATTTCCAAAAGGAGCTCTGTGGATTTCTGTGCTGAATTGACCCATGAGCATGTGGAGTGGAGAGAAGAGGACAGCCCCTGCTCCTCTGAACACTGCAGAGGGTGGAGGACTCAAGCTACAGGGAGCTTTCCCAGTTGGGTCACTCAGAATATTTGTCCCCGGAGGCCACTGGGACTCAACTCCTAAGGTTACACAGCAACGAAGACTGGAGAAATGTGCCCCCTTTTGGCAAGTATCAATCGAGTTCTTATGTACTGGGAGGTATTAGCAGCATAATCTTGGGATGTTTATATTTATATATATCATAGTACAGTGTGGTCTATTTGAAGATAAAGTACAAGGCGTGATATAAAAATACCTAGGAGGAACAACTGGGCATTTGGGGATCAGGTGAGAAGTGGTCTCAGATACCTGAACTGTCTCTGAGAAGGATGAATAGGTGTCATTCAAGAAGAAATGTGTGTGTAGGGTGGGGGGTTTTGGGGTAAGACATTACAAAGAGGGTCCCAGGTGAGCCAAACACAATGATTAAGAACAGTTCTAGAGGAAGCAGGTGCACCTGTGGGCATGTGAACGACCATGTAACATACAAGCTGATTAATCTTGGAGTGCAAAGGATAGGGACAGGAGATGACAATCGAAATGACATTTGTAGATTATACAGAGGATCTTGTCTGCCCTAGGGAAGATGATAAAATATTTTTACATAAAGGGTTTCCAGGAAAATAATCACTCAAGGGTAGAGCAAAGGTTATTATTGCCTTAGTACCAAGTGATCAGCACTAGTGGTTGTTTCTTTTTTCTTTTTTTTTTTTTTCCTTTTTGTCTTTTTTACTGACCGGTAACGGGATCGCAACCCTCGGTGTCGCGCCCGCACCGGGGACCGGCAACGGGATTGCAACCCTCGGTGTTGCACCCGTACCACGCTCAGCCAGTGAGCGGGAACCGGTCTCCACATGGGATCCGAACCCTCGGCGGGAGCGCCGCCGCACTCCCAAGCGGTGCACTCTCCAGTGCACCACCGGGCCGGCCCAACCAGTGGTTGTTTCTTACCTATGAGTCCTGTGCTGTAGCCTTGCTCCTTTAGTAAGGCTGCAAACGTTGTTTCATTAAGAGGAAGTCCAGCAGGAACTCCAAGTGTTCGGATGACACGGTGGTTGGTATCAGACACCATACCTAAACGTAGTGTCATAAACAAAAAGAAAACTAAAGAAATGCACAATGAGTACTGGCAATGACAGACTGAATGTTTGTGTCCCCTCTCCCACAAATTCCCCTGTTGCAATCCTAATCCCCAACGTGGTGGTACTAGGAGATGAAGTCTCTGGGAGGTGATGAGGTGATGAAGGTGGAGCCCTCATGGGTGGAATTAGTGTCTTTATAAAAGAGACCCAGAGAACCCCATGTCCCCTTCCAACCATGTGGGGACACGTCTATGAACCAGGAAGCAGGTCCTCACCAGACACTGCACCTGCCACACCTTGATCTTGGACTTCCAGCCTCCAGAACTGTGAGCAATAAATGTCTACTGTTTGCAAGCCACCCAGTGTATGGCATTTTATCACAGTGCCCCAATTAACAGACAAGTGCCCGTCAAGTGGACAGTCAGAGATTCATGGAGAGATTAGGGCCAGAAGTAGAGAGGCAACGTGTAAGGAAGAGAAAAAAATACTGTGGGGTGAGAAATCATGTTTTCCAAACAAATGTCCTCACATTTGTCCATAACACAAAGCCCATTCTAAGCCCTTTCCTGCATTCACACATGTACACACACACACAGACCTTATCAGACACACACAAATACACAGTCACAAGTAAGACTTTACACGTAGCCTCTTGAGTTTCTACAAACTACACAGGGTAATTCTTTCAAAAGATAATTCATTACTGAATGAACAGCTAACATAGTCCTGCCCTCTCCTGGGGAGTCTAAAATGTTGGGGGGAAAAAAGTTAAAAAATGAAATTTCACAGAAACATCAACCCTTCCTCTTTCCTCATAGGATTTTTGTTTTTTTCTGGCAATAAGGATTTAGTTCTACTCATAGTAAAGGTGTATAAGCTTATTTCCATCAAACACCTGAAGTGGGGTACGTAGTTTTACATCTCTCAATTCCTTCACAAAAATAGAGCAATAAGACAGAAAAATGCTAAAAATCCATAAAGAACATTTACAGAAAAATTAAGTGACTTGCATGTGGAGATATACCTACCACCCACATATCCAAGATTTTCAGTTTATACAAAAAGAACAGAAAAAAGCAAGTGATCCTGAAACTGAAGAACCCCAGAATAACAGCAGGTATTTTCTAGAAAGTGTAAACCACTGAGAGGAAAGCACATGAAACTGCACGGGTTTTGCTCATTGCAATAGTGAGTGATTGCAAGGACTCAGATAATTTAAAAATGCTGGATTAGTTTATCCCCAATGAACTCTTAAAACCAGCCCATCCTGTCTCCTTCCAAAATAGGGTTCTACCTACAGCAACATCTGGAAGTGGAAAGAAAATCAAGTAAGGCAGGAAAAAATGCATGAAAAAGAAAGACATGGTCCAGATAAATGTGGAAAAAGGGATCAGAGCAGGAACTCTCAGAGTTGAAGAAGCCATCGTTTTAAATACTGTATAAAAATAACACGAGAGAGAGAGTTCCTCAAAGTTAGAATATATTTTTTTAAATTTCTGAACGATGCTCTCCAAATAAAACACATCTAGTTCGATGTACTTCTAAGACTTAGGAAAACTAGGTTTGCATAAACTGAGAAGAAAGAAAAGACAATATGGATACAAATTTATTACACGAAAAAAAGAACAAAGAGCAAATTAATACCTGAACCTTCAGATAACCAAAATATGTCAAAAAGTCATGGCCACAAAACATATCAAAACTGCTCCCAATTGTTTTAAAACAACCTGAGGGGCTGGCTGTTTAGCTCAGCTGATTAGAGTATGGCTCTGAGAACAGTGAGGTCCAGGGTTCAATCCCTGTACCAGCCAGCTGCAAAAAAAAAAAAAAAAAAAAACCCTGAAAAAAATCTTAAAACAACCTAAGAGATATTGAAAAAAATTCAAGATATGAAATATATATATATATATATATGTGTGTGTGTGTGTGTGTGTGTGTGTGTATTAGGATTAGAAAAAAACAGAAATAAGGCTGGAAATTTCATTAAAAGAACTAGAAATAAAACTAAACATCATTTTAAAAGTGAATTTTAAGCTAGAAGGAACTGCATAGCAAATAAATATAGTAGACAATTCTTTATGATATACATATATATATATATAATGCAAAAAGGGGGAAACATTAAAATTTAAACAGAAATAAAGAAATAAAAAGGCTAAAAACAGGAAAAATAATTAAAGAAAAATCCAGCACAGAGATAATAAAAGTAGCAGAAGAAAAAATAAAACAAGGAAGCAGAACACTATACACTCTTAGAAGTATAACTCAAGATATAAAGGTTTGAAATTATATATTGAAATATTACATCATGTGCCTGAAAAATTCATCCAGGATTACCAACAAAACAATATATCCTAATAAAGTTATAGAACTTTAAAGAAAAAGAAATATATATTATGCATATATATACACACACACAACATAGAAATATACATTTAAGTTGATATATAATATATTAATAAAATAAATAAATATAGATTTAACATAACATATATTATATATATTTTTCTAGGTGAAGAAAACTAATGACCTAAGGAAAAGAAAATTGGGTTATCTTCAGACTTTCCAGCAAGAAGGCTTTATGCAGAAGAAAACTGAGAAACATTGATAAGATTCTCAAGGAAAAAAATGTAAGTCAGGTTTTTATGTTTAAATTTTTAAAAAAATTTTAAAAACTAACAATAATTGTAAAAATCTCCGGGAATGTTGTTCTCACAAGTTGAGGAGTCTTGTTAGTGAACCAGCATCTTACATTCAAAATGGACTGAAGTAACATGGATATAAGGGCTGGTGCTGGGTACAATATATACACTTAATTTCTAGAGTTAATATAGATATTGGATATCCATAAAAATGGAGAAGATGGGGATAGAAAATGAAAATAATCCTTAAGTGCTATCTATCTGTCTATCTGTCTATGTACCTAATATCTATCTATATCCATATAAATATCTTTCTCTCTGTATCTCTCTCTCTCTCTCTGTGATGACTATTCTGAGAATGCTGCATTCATAATTTGGGATAAACCAAGATTCCTGTTGTAGAAGAAAGGCAATAAAATTCATAAGAAAATGATTAAGAAAAAATCTTGTGCTGAATTCTTATTGCAAATAGCAGTATACATTCATAATATATATTATTTTTTAAAAAATATAGGAACACTTGCTAGCACTGCCCTATGAAAAGGTCTGGAAACTATAACCACCAAGTTGTAACAGGTATCACTTAATGCCCAGGCTGTGGTTTTGAAAAATATCATTTCATATGGAAAGAAACCAGGGCTTCTTGTAAAACTGGCTGATTCCAGATGTGGTCAGGAATGTACAAGCTCTGCCTGGAACATCTCAACATAACATACAGGAAGGGCATGATCAAAAACCCCTAGAGTTGTGGCAAAAAGACAGAGCATCCAACCAGAAGAGCCTCCTGAGGCCAATGTGACACAATTTGAGCATGCAATAAAGACAATAACTGCGATGGATTGAACACAACAGATATGTTTTAATCCACGAGCTCACACTAATACCACCACCATCGACAATGAATAAAAATAACGGGGCTCCTTTCAAAGATGATAGGGGGAAAAATGTTACTTAACACTGAAAAGTGAATAGTTGTCTTTCTTACTGGTTATCCAACTCGTACAATTATACGTTTGCTTTTTTTTTTTAATAGGAATGTGTCAAGAAAAAAAAATAGAATAAAGATGTCACCATTTTGCAACCGCCAATGAATGATTGCTTTCAGTATTGAGTGTCTGTGGTAGTTAACAACATCACACCAGCAGACACCATGTCCTTTCTGATGAAAGGACCCAACACCATTGGTGGTCTAACAAAGATACTGAGCCTGAGTCTTCTCCAAGCTGCTATATCCAATTGCTAGTTTACAGAAGACAGAGAGCAGGGTACAATGCACCAAAAAGATGCATGTAGCAAATTCAGACTGCAGCAACCTGTACGTGTCAAATGGTCAGAGCTCTTCAAGAGAAAAATGGTCAGTAACAGGAAACAAAGCAGGAAGGAGGAACATGAAAATTAAAAGAGACTTTAAAGAGATACCCAATTAAATGTTTATAAAATAATCAAGGCTGAGCTATTTTACCTAGGGATACATTTTTAGGTGGTGCAACTATGGAGAATAGCAGGAAAGTGGTGGCTATCGATGCCAGGAGAATGGTCACTCTGGGGGAGAAAAGGCATTTGTGATTGGGTGGGATTCATCACTGTTAAAGCTCCATTTCTCAACGTTGTTGGTATTGACAAGGGCATTTATTTACCTTAAGGTAATTTATCAAACTATGCCTTTGTTTTAATTTCCTGAATGTGTGCTTCCTAATTTAAAAGATTTTCAAGTCTGAGATGAGAAAAATTCAGATTCAAGAATTAAATATCAAAAAGTAGTGAGTATGAATTTCTGACAAGCACTGTATAGAAACTAATAGCTTCAGACCGGTTATGAACTAAATGTTTGTGCCATAGCCTCAGCTAAAATTCCTATGTTGAAACCCTCACCCCAAAAGTGATGGCATTAAAGAGGTGGGGAATTTGGGCAGGTGATGAGGTCATGAGGGTGGAGCTTCATGAATGGGATTAGTGTCCTTGTAAAAGACTCCCCAGAGAGCTCTGTCAGCCCTTTCACCATGTGAGGACATAGTGGGAAGTTGACATCTATGAACCAGGAGGAAATTCCTCACCAGACACTGCACCTGCCACACCTTGATCTTGAACTTCCAGCCTCCAGAACTGTTAGAAATAAATGTCTGTTGTTTATAAGCCACCCAGTCTGTGATATTTTGCTACAGCAATGATGGGCTAAGACGACATTTTCTTTCCTTTCCACCAAAGTCAAAATCAAGAGATTGGCACTGGGTTGGTACATATGACTTTGTCCTGCCTCCCAGAATCACTGGAATCTGTATAATTTGACGTTTGTTGATCCCAATTTTCCTCAGCACTAAATAAGCCAGACATTGTAAAGCTCATGAAACACGAAACGGTACATGACACACTTAAGATTCCCAAGCAATACTTGAGTACTGGCCTCTTTGAATCTCACTGTTTGATCTGAAACTGCAGCATCTGTACCCACAAACCAAGACTGCTCTGCTCACCTCCAAAAATAAAGCCATGTGACCCAGCAATTCCACTCCTAGGAATATACCCAAAAGAATAGAAAAGAGGTATTCAAAGAAACACCTGTACACACGTGTTCATAGCAGCACTATTCACAATAGCAAAAAGGTAGAAACAGCCCAAATGTCCATCAACAGATGAGTAGGTAAACACAATGTGGTCCATCACGTGGAATATTACTCAGCCATAAAAAGGAATGAAGCTCTGTCTGACACCTGCTGCAACGTGGAAGAACCTGTCAAACATCGTGCTTCCTGAAAGACGCCTGACACAAAAGGCCACATACTGTATGATCCCACTTACATCAAATGTCCAGAACAGACAAATCCATGGAGATAGAAAGCAGATTAGTGGTTACCAGGGGCTGGAGGTGGGGCAATGGGGGAGTGACTTTTTTAGTGGATACAGGGTGTCCATTTGGGGTGATGAAATGGAACAAGATAGAGGTGATGTTTGCACAACATTGCCAATGTGCAAAATGTCACTGAGTTGTACACCTCAAATTGGCTAATTTTAAGTTGTGTAAATTTCTCCTTAAATTTTAAAATAGTGTAACTGCAACACAACAGCTAGAGCCTGGGGTAACTCTCTTCTGTGTTCCGTTTCTGCCCTCACTTTCTCTGAGATTAAAATCAATGGAGCAGAGGGACCGTGCTCCTGTCTCCAAAGCTAACACAGCATAATAAACGTTTTCGAAATCCTGATATATCTTTCCTGGTCACAGCCTGGATGAGTACAGACACGATTTATGAATCATTTCCTCCCAAGAGATCTTTTCCTCTTCCTGAGAAGGAACACCAAACCTACGCCCAGTCACAAACAGCTCAGAATAATAAGCCATGACCATGTCAGAAGACACAACTTAGCTGCACAGGGTGAAGTCGTAACCACCAGGAACATAGTGATGTATATGTCGGCACCAGTATGTGCGTGTGTGCATGCACCTTTTTTACCCCCACTTTTTAGAATACTCAAACCACATTTTTATTTCCTCGTATCCTCACATGACAGCAGCGTGTAGCTCAGATGCCCCATTTACAGACCTGATCGGATGGGATATCTTCCCGTCAGGAAGGCAGATCGGCTTGGGGTGCATAAAGAGGCTGCAGAAATGTGCTGGGTCAGCTGGACCCCTTCCTTGGCTAAGCGATCGATGTTAGGAGTCCTGAAAAGAGAAACAGAGGTGAAATTGAAAAGGAGGGTAAAGAAGAGAGGTACAAAAGCTGGGAAGGGAGGGAGAGAGAGAGAGACAGAGCGAGAGGAGGAGAGAAAAAGGGAGAGGTCTGGAGGTAAACATCTCTGTTTATTATGAGATGCCCAGCAAGCAACTGCATGCAGAGACCATTCTTTTTTGCCCACAGCAGGGTGATATATAACTGAGATTTCAGGCAGCTGTTGTTTATTTCGGGATTGGTATAATTGGCATCTGCTGTATGGTATCCAGTAAGTATATGTCTGCCTCTAAAAAAAAGTAATAAATTAGAATGTTTAAGCATCTCTGGCGTGGTTAATTCAGGCTGATTACTTTCAGACCCAAGGATGCGTTCAACCCAACCGTTTGATAGATACATTTCCTGACAGTATACGTAGGTCTCAAAACTGCCGTACAATTATATGTTAGAAAACACGGAAATCCTATCATTTGTGACAACATGGATGAACCTGGAGGACATTATGTTAAGTGAAATAAACCAGGCACAGAAAGACAAATACTGCATGATCTCACTCACAGGTGGGATCTAAAAAATGTTGATCTCATAGAAGCAGAGAGTAGAACGGTGGTTACTAGGGGATTAGAGGTGCGAGTTATTGATCAAAGGATGTAAAGTTTTACTTAGACCGGAGGAGTAAGTTCAAGGAATCTATTGCAGAGCACAATGGCTATAGTTTAATGATAATGTATTGTGTTCTCGAAAATTGCTAGGAGTAGATTGTACGTGTTCTCACAACACACAGATGACAAGTGTGTCAGGTAATGCATGTGTTAATTAGCTCTATTCAGCCGTTCCACAATGTTTACGTCTATGAAAACACTTGGGGACTGGCTGATTAGAGCATGGTTCTGATAACAGTGAGGTCCAGAGTTCAATCCCTGTACCAGCCAGCTGCCAAAGGAAACAACAATACACTTCAAAACATGGTCTTGTACACCATAAATATATATAATTTTTTTGTCAACTAAAAAAGAATAATTAAAAATCCCTGAAGATTGAAGAGAATCAAATACAGATTTACAGGGAAGAGAATCAGTAGCCTCTTGGATGAAAATAAAATATAACGCATGCTGGATTTACACATAAGAGAAATGGTGAAGGATAACTTGGAGCAGAAAGAATTATCAGCTTTACCAAGGCATTTATCTACTGTTTCATTTACACATGGAATTCGCCTGCTGTCTTTTAAAATATGATTCATTTTGCAAAGTAAAGTATTATTTCTAAACTGCATCTCTGGTGCATATGTTTCTGCTTTTGCATTTTACAATATCTTCTCACTTCTCAAATATCTAGCATTTTCAGTAAAACATTTACCTCCCAACACAACATACTCTCTTGTAAATATCTGCTATTCATGGACATGTGTTTTTATATGCTCTCATATGAGTATTAATTTTGTCATACTCGATAATTAATTTTTAGCATTTACTTTCTTATGACTCATAGTTTCTTTTATCAAAAACAGTGGTTACTAGCTTTGGCATCTATTAGTAACACAACAAAATGATTTTGAAAGTATATAATTTGTATGCCTTACAATGATGTATTTCTAAGTTTTATATGGGCATGGCTTATATAAACCACTTTTATAATCTACCAGAAAGCCCTGAGTTTCTGTTTCATATTGGTTTTTCTTCTTTCAGAATGTTTGTTGTTAAAATAGATGGACATCACATTAAAGAATATGTTGGCTACCCAAATGTGAAAGCATACGACGATTAATTCTGCTGAATAAAATGTATATACATTATCATCCACATAATAGAAGATCATAGAGGGTTTGTTATGTGCTGGATACCATTTCAAGTACTTTGCATATATTAACTCAGAGATACATATAAAGGTACTTCAAAAAACTTGCAGAGAAATAGAATTAAGGGAAAATACAAATATTTCCATGAATGTTTTGAAGTAACCTCACAGTGTTCTCCTACATTCTACAAATAAGACAAGCAAGGCATAGAGAGGTTAAGTCACTTCTCCAGGACATCACAGCTGGTAAGTGTAGAATCAACATTCGAATCCAAGACAGTCCTGCTTTTAGTATTTCTTGCCTCTTTAACTAAAAAACAAACAAACAAAAACAAGAACAAAAGCCAACAACAACAAAACAACAACAACAAAAAACAATGAATCAGTTTGGTTTTGCATGTAGATGCAGTCTATTTGTCACCCATCCACGCCTGAATGACAGCTGGAAGTATGATTCAATGAAGCTATACCTTATTGTATCATTGCCGTAGCAACCCAAATCTCCAATCCCAAGATCATCAGCCATTATAAGGAGGATATTAGGCTTGTCTTCGTTCATCCCATGTGATTGACATGTATTCCAGAGTAAGCACACATAGGACAGGAAGATCAGGTGGCTCCTGAAAAGCAAGCATGGATTTTACGAGTGATATGCTTTTCTGGAACTACCTTCCTAAAGCATCTTTTAAACACAGCACAGGTCACTGGAGACCAGATGAGTCTCCCAAGGGAAAGCTTCAGCTCATGAATTTCTCTTTCCAAGTGTTGGCCATTGTTGTTGAATGGTTGTTGAAAGTTGAGTGCTCGAGAGATGCTCTCCTGGGTTTTCAACTCACATGAAATAAATGCTTTTCCAGGAGGTGAAGTCTGAAAATGTGTATTCAGAGGGAAAGCATTTCATGGGCAAGAAGTGATAAGATTCCTGAGGTCAAGCCCCTGGAAGAGGGAGAATACTGACTTTAATTCACATTTAAATGGGTGTGAATGTGTGTTTATTCCTGCACTATTCACAACAGCCAAGACATGGAGTCAATCTAAGTGTCCACCAATAGATGAAAGAATTAAGAAAATGTGGTATATACTCACAATGGAATAATATTTGGTCATGAAAAAGAAGGAAATCCTGTCATTTACAACAACATGTGTGAATCTGGAGGACATTGCATTAAGTGAAATAAGCCAGGCACAGAAAATTAAATACTGCATGATCTCACTCATATGTGGAATCTGAAAAAATTAAACTCATAGAAGCAGAGAGTAGAATGGTGGTTACCAGAGGCTACAGAGGGTGTGAAGATGATGTACAACGGATACAAAGTTTCAGTTAGACAGGAGGAGTAAGTTCAAGAGATCTATTATACAACAGGGTGACTACAAGTAATAACAAAGTATTGTATACTTGAAAATTGCTGAGAGTAAATGTTACACTTTCTCACCACAAAAATATTGTAGGTATATGAGGTAATGCATATGTTAATTAGTTAGATTTAGCCACTCCACGAGGCCCACATATTTTAAAACATCATCTTGTACATTATAAATATATATAATTTTTATATGTAGGTTTTGAAAAGAAATTTAAAAATTTTAAAAAAAAACTTAAAAAGCAGAAATAGATGTAATTTATCATTACTCAGGAAAAACAGTGTGTGGAGAGCAGCTTTGGTGAAGAAATATTTTTGGGGGGAAAAGAGAAACAAGAAGCAAACAAAAGGGAATCGTTGAGTTAAAGAAAAAGGAAATGTTGCAAAATAACTGAATTCAGGAGAAGGAGCCTGGAATCTGAAGACCAAGGTAGTTCACACTATAATTTTATTCAGCCACAACTAAGTTCCCATTTTCTCCAGAAAATACATAACCCTCTTCCCATTCAATTTCTATTCAATTGTCAGGTCATGTATATTGAACATTTAAATTGTGGATTCAGTCTCTGTCTCATCTCTATTCATACCTCAAAGTCCACCTCAAATATTTCCTCCAGGAAAGAGGATAGAAATGGTCATTGATCCCATCTGATGCCAGAGCCCTTTATAAATACTCTGAAACAATGCTAAACATATGCAATTGCAACTCGCTGCTTTCAGCAAATGTTCCCTCAAGACTCTGTATGTCTTGACGGTGGGGTCTATATGCCCAGAACTTTTCCTCCTGCCAAATCACCGTAGCTACAGAAACACTTCATCTCACTAGAGTTCATTGCTGTTACAATACTTTAAAATCATACATGTATGTTAGAAATTTAGTTTATACTTGCATCAGTAGCCTAAATCTCTCCTACTTTTCTTTTTATTTATCATAGACTTATTAAGTCCACAATATCAACTTAGACATATGATGGTTAATCACATAAAGGAATTTATATCTATCAGGCTGAATTCACAGTGACCCCAAATCATCCAATAGATTCAATGTAATTTATGACTTCCTTTACCTGGGCTTCATTATGTAGCTTTTTATTTTCTTTGGCAGAAGATACACAAGGTCCTGAAAAGAAAATAAAAGAGTGTTATTTTTGCGTTTATTAACTTAGCTCCTATTGTAAAATTCTCATTGAATTTGGGAGCCATATCCCTACTTCCGACATTTTAAAACTGATTTTCCAGAGCTGTTACTGCACAAATCCTGATCTCTTAAGGAATTCATTCTGCTGGCCATTTTTAAAAGAACTCCTGCTAAGCCAAGTCCTGGGGCTCTTGGATTAATTTTTAAGGAATTTCTTCTATGCCAAGTCCCAGTTCCAAACCTACCTTTAAACACGCCTGGACAAGAGAATAGTCCCAAGGTTCTGCCAAGCCTAGAAGATTAATCTCGGAAAGTCTATGCACAATGAATTTGAATCACCAGAAAAGAGGACATTACTTGAATTAGTCTACCTATTTTCATTGGTCCACGTTCAGAAAACACACTCTATGATTATTCTAGGATGACTAATGGTTGTATACAATGGGGCGTGGGGGTGGGGCATGTGGAGACTATGATGACCAAGGGATTTGACAGCGAAATTCATTGGAATGAAATTTAAATAATTCCCATATTCAGTTTGCAAGTTACTACCCACATGTGTACTTTAAAATAATACTAAGAACAAAAATATAAACCCGCTCTTCCTTAAATCCATCTCGCACAAAAGTATGCATCAAAGTATAGACCATATACACGTACACACCAAAGAGAGTTCTTGGCTAAGAGAGAGAAAGGAAGAGAGAGGGAGGGAAAGTAGAAAGAAGGGAGAGAGATAGAAAGAAAGGAGAGAAAACTTACCCAAACCAAATCGGTTTGGAGTCAATTTCTCAATACCTAAGCTGATTTATTGAGTTCTAGAAAATTGTCAGCCAAAGGATTTTCAACGTGCCATCACCCTGCCCATCAGTCCAGCCCATCAAAACTGGCAAAAAAAAAAAAAAAAAAAAAGAAAAAAAATAGCCAAAAAAGTCTGTACTAACTAGCAAGCCTTCCCCAACTCATCTGTCAGTTGCAGTGTCTTTCTAATGTCTAGGACGAAACAGAACGGCAGATCGAAAGAGCTTTCAGCTGTTCTTGATGGCACCTACAACCACTATGAAAATGTTAACCTCTCCATAGTATCTCCTTCCACAATGGGGAAAAAGGAAAAAAAAAAAAAAAAAAAAAAGAAAAAAAATAGCCAAAAAAGTCTGTACTAACTAGCAAGCCTTCCCCAACTCATCTGTCAGTTGCAGTGTCTTTCTAATGTCTAGGACGAAACAGAACGGCAGATCGAAAGAGCTTTCAGCTGTTCTTGATGGCACCTACAACCACTATGAAAATGTTAACCTCTCCATAGTATCTCCTTCCACAATGGGGTGGCTGGTCCATGCTTTGCTTCCTCACATGGTTCATGTGTGTTATACAAATGATTTGCATCTCCTACTTCAAGTCCAGGAAAAAAAAATTGCATTTAATGAAACACCCGCAGCCTGCCTTGCTGAGTCTGAATGTTCTTATCTCTGACTACCACTAGAATGATTCATCAAACCGAAACTAAGAGCAGCTTTTCTGAGGAAGAGCAATCCCCTTTGATGTCCATTGCTTTGGTGTAATCTCATGATCTCCAGCAATGTCTCAGAGATACTCGTGCACCTCATTAAAGAGATAAATTACAAGTTCTCCCCTCAACATTATTTCTTAATGATGTTCAACAAGACAAAGGATGGGGAATAATAACACTGAAGCAAAGTAAGACAGCAACTCTCTCAGCATTGTGAATAAAGATTTGGGCATATAAAAGGTCATATGTAGCCCATTCTCACCCAAACACCATTTTTCGAGGTGGGATGCTCTATTAAAGGTGTTACTATCTGCTATGGGTGAAATGTGTTCGGCAAAACTTTTTGTGTTGATCCCCACTGTAACAGTGTTAAGAGGGGAAATCTAATTATAATACTTAAAAGGTGGGGCGTTTGGGAGGTGATTGGATTGTGAAACCTGTGACCTCATGAATGGATTATTCCATTCATAGAGTAATGAGTTATCATGGATGTGGCCTGGTTGTTTCATAGTGAGTACATGAGTGAATCTTGCCATTCTCACCATGTGACAACTTGCATTGCTGTAGAGAGTTCCCACCTAGAAGAAGGACCTTCCCACATGGACTCCCTAGAGCATGGACCTCCTGGCCTCCAAACTGTAAGAAATAAATTTCATTTCTATATAAGTTACCCAGTTTCAGGTATTCTGTTACAAGTCACAGAAATAGACTAATACAGAAAATTGGAACCAGAAGTGGGGTGTTACTAGTGATAAATACCTGAAAATGTGGAAGTGGTCCTGGAACTGGGTGATGGACAGAGGGCAGAAGAGTTTGGAGGAGCAGGCTAGAAAAAGCCTACATTCTGGTGAGGGTTTAGAAGACAAGAAGACCAGGAAAAGCTTGGAATGTCTTAGAGACTGATTAAGTGATGATGACCAGAACACTAGTAGAAATATGGTCAGTAAAGGTCAATCTGAGAAGGTCTTAGATGAGGAGGAGCTTATTGGAAACTGGAGCAAAAGTCATCTTTGTTATCAGCTGGCCAAGAACTTGGCTAAAGTGTGGTGTGTCCATGATAGAGTGCTTCATTGAATGTGTAACTTAAAAGTGATGGATGAGGATATTTGCTGGGAAGAATTTTCAAGCAGCAAAGCATTCAGGTAGCTGCATGGCTACTTACAACAGCCCATGATGAGTTATGGCAACAAAGACATGATGCAAAGCCAGAATTTATAACTAAAAGGGAAGCAGGGGGTAAAAAATTGGAAAACCCTCAGAGTGGGCATGTTAAGTGTGAAATAGTATGTTCAGGAAAAGAAACCAAGGGTGATCATCTGCAAAGGAGATCAGAACAGAAGGAAAGGATCACCAAGAGAAGAGAAAAAAGACATTGAAGGCATTTCAGAGACTTTGAAGCTGCTCCTTCCATCACAGACCCAGAGGACTAGGGAGACAGAATGGTCATGGGGAACAGGCCTAGGGTGCCTTCCACAGCCTCACTGCCCAGGGCCACCTTGGGATGCTGCTCTCCACACCAGCACTCTGACTGCTTCAGCTGCTGCAGCAGTGGC